CCACGTTGATCTGCATGAACTACATTAGCCTCCTTTAATTATCTGGTATCAATGCTAGGCTGACAGGCCTATAATTACTCGGTCATCCGTTTACCCTGTTTAAACTTCCCCTCTGCTCCAGGACTTACTGAAAATCAGCATTAATGTCCGGTGAGCACCTCAGCCAGCTCTTTTAAAACTCTGGGATACATATTATCTGAACCTGCTGGTATTAATATGTTTAGCCTTACTAGCTTCTGTTTAATCTACTTCAGAGATAATAATGGAATGGAGTGTTATCACTAGGCAATGAGATGTCATTTGTCCCTTCCCCCCCAATACAAAACTGAAATATTTATTGAACACATCTGCCTTTTTTGTACTACTACCGATAAGTCTACCATTTCCATCTACAGGCTGAACCTCTCTAGTCCGGCACCCTCAGGACCTGACGGGTGCCGAACCATAAAATTTGCCAGACCACTGGATGTCAGTATTGTCTAGCAGCATTACCAACACTGCCGCTGCTTGCTGGGCTGTTAGAGGACATTTAGGGGTAAATTAGAGCTAAATAACAGCACAGAACAGTGAGAGCCAGAACTGGTGGCTCTAAACAAACTTTACGGGACCACAGGAAAATTGGCCACACTCATGAAAAGTGGGCATCTGGCTAACAAAAATAATACTGGACGATGGATGTTTCTGGACCAAAGAGTTCTGGACTAGAGAGGTTCAACCTGTAGTAACTGACAAATACAACTGTCAGGATTCTTTTTTCCCTTAAAATGAACACCTGTTACATAGATCTCTCAACTTTTCATTCTTATCTAACATTGTTTTATTATAAAGGCACCTTTTACATGATCGTTTTTATTTAGAAGACTTAATGTCATATTTATTATTCAACGGCAATAATGCAACTAAAAAAGGTTTTCACTATTGCCTTATATAGCCTTGTCTCATTTTGTACAGCATCTCAGGCCTCTGAAGTACTTGTTGCAGCAGCAGCAGCAGCTAGCCACCACAATAAAGGTACCTAGTACTGTGGCGATGGGAGAAGTCTGTTGTATGTAGACAGATGTCCAGATGACGACTTACGTTATTTTGTCCTTGTAAAGACTCCATAAAAGAATTATGATGTTAATTTTACCAAAAAAAAAAAAAAAAGTATGCATCTTTCGGAAGAAATTTTCCCTCTTTGCTGGATGCTATCAAACAGAAAAGGGTTATTTATGCCACAGTGAGAGCTCTCTAGTATAAGTAAAGGGTAATTGGGCAATGCACAAAACTTGGCACTCTCAAAATGAACTGCTGCCATGAAGCAATGTTACTGTATTAAAGTAATGTAAAATTTAGAGTATTAGAAAAGTTAACAAGCATGGTTTTATATATGCCCTACAGAAAAATATTGTATTTCAAAGAGAGAACGAGCAGTCAATTAAATCTATGTCATAAAGGCTGACAGCTGAGCATGATCCTAACCATAAATTAGTCTTTTCATAAAGTCTCATGAAATATTAGAAGACTGATGGAAGTAGTACATGGTCATTTTTCAGAAAAGCTGTTAACAGATCTCTCTCCTGATCCAAGTCCCAGGATATACTGCCTCCAGTGTCGTAGCTGCAACTCTGTGAGACTACTACAACTTTGTAACTCCCACCTGAATTCTCATTTGCCCCTTTTTCTTCCCTCCCCGTGGCTAGTAGGACCCTGCCTTACGGTAGAGCTCAGTTGGATGTTGCTCTGATAGAGTGGTCTAACCCAGTCATTGCACATTGGTCATAATAAGTTTCTTTCTGATTCAACATGGGTGGTCCAAATCCTGGTAACCCTTCTGACAGGGAGTCAGAGACTCCTAAATGTGGCAGTGCAGAGCTGGGAAGCTCTGCAGAAAGTACCCAGGACTGCAAGATGTGCAGGCCGATGCATTGCTTCTAGCACCCACAGGCAATTCCTCTGCAGTAGTGATGCCATAGGTCTGCATACCCTTTTGCCTCCCACACAGGTCTGTCTTGGCTAAGCTCTGCAAGGAGCTCTCAACCACTGCACAATATAGGGATCTGGTCAGGCTGGTGGATGGAACAAAGCCCAGCAAACGGGAAGAGTAACATGCATAAGAAAGTTTCTTTCTACAAAGATATTTTTATTTTGCTAGTAACTATGCACATCAACAGAATCCACAGATGCTAGTTTGCATAGACTCCGATTCTGACAGTGAATGACAGCTCTCTGCCTGTAACTATGTGGATGCGGTTAACTGACTAGCCTGGGCTCCCTGCGAGCACTGCCTCCCTTATGTCCCCACTCCCCGCACTGCTGCGGAGGCAGGAGCCCAGGGGAAGGAAGAGGCGGCTCCTTGGGAGCCGGAACATGCACACTGGCTCCCAGGGAACTGCATCCCTCTGTGTAAACATGTAACTGCTGAAAATGTCAGCGGTTGCACGTTTACCTGAATACACGCATTTTAACACCCGTAGTTTACATAGGCCATTAAATACATTAGTAAGTCCAATTAATGACTTCAGACCCAGCCTTGCTCTCATTGAAATCTACAGTAAAATGCCACTGATTTCAGGGGGGGGGGGAGGGAGAGAATGGGCTACTGCAATGTATTTCCACTCTGGAAACTGACTAAAAATGGCAGGTATTATATTCATTGTAACATAGCAACTCCAGAAAAATGTGCTCAGTTTATAAATAAATGCTTTCCCCTAAATGCCAAGCCAAAGAAACAGAGCTGAGACAGAAGAATTAGCGAGGTTTCTCCCTTACCCCTTAACTCTGCAGTGAAAATTTGACCTCAGTTGCACCTGTGCATTCCTATGGTCTTCATGGGCTTGTGCAAAAGTAACACATTCTAAATTTAATGTGGGATAGTGTTAATGCAAAAATTTAACATAATCTGCAGCTCACTCAACCCTAGCTATTTGTGCTAACTGAAGTAAAAAGAAGCAGAAACTTTGTCACTAAATATAGCTAATCCAACAAAAGAGAAGACTTGTTCCATAAGAAGAACATGCTTGATTTTTGTTGCTTGGTTTTGTTTTACAGTCAATTCTCAGCGTCCAACACGCGTGAGGACAGATACGACGGGGTGAAGATTGTTTATGAATGAATGCTTCTGATGTCCATTAAACACTAAAAGGTTTGCATGAAATTGTCAAAGCATCCATGTGAGTGAGGTGACCAACTCAACAGAAATGGTGCATTTAACTGTTTTAGGCCCTTCTGGAAAAGTACAGCCCTCAATTTTTAAAACAGAAGCATTTCCCATTCCCAACATTCTCCTGCCAATACACCTGACATTATGTTAAAGTGAAAGTTTTCACAGCGTCATAAATGAATCAGTTGAAAGGACTAAATTTGGCAATTCCCGTGATTAGGGATAAATTAAGAGGAATTTTTAATGGTCTAGGAATTATTTATACATATACTGAGTGACAAAAATAGGCAAATGTTGATTTGATACCCCATACTCTAAACTGAAAAAAACCCACCACAATTTGCTATTAAATAAAGTGGAGAATGGGATGGGAAAAGGCAGGGCCCGGGATGGAGGAAGGGCTGCCTGGGACCTGCACCCTCCCAGGAAAAGCTCTCCCCAGGTTAGGGATGGCATAGAGAAGAGTGTCACATGGCTGGTGTCACCTGTGTCCCTCCCCAGCAGTTGCC